GGCTTCCAAGAGGCAAGAAACATATGGATTCTGCAGCTCTTCGGAAAATATTTCAATCGCTGGGCCGCCTTATGGCGCTTCGGCATTGCAGCCCCAACGGGCGTCGCGATGTGGTTTACGCGCAATGAGCATAAAGCAGCGGCAGAAGGAAAACATTAGCCAACGAGCTCAATAATTTCTTCTCGGCAAAGCTTGCGGATGGTCCAAGGAAGTGTTGGCAATCGACACGGCCAAAGCCGCAGCGCCACTTATTGTGCATCAGCTGCCAGAACTGCGAGCCTTCCTGGCCAAAGAGTTGCGAAACAATGCATCAACGTTCCCACCTGGGGAATTTGCGTTTTTTTTGGGCCTTGGCCCCGTTCGCGACCTGACGAAAGCGTTGCAGACCAGAACGCTTACCCACCAAGCGTTGCGCGACTGCCAGGTGGAGGCACCTGGTGACGATCGACTTGGACCTTGAAGTGCAATCCGGGCCCGCGCAGTGAAGGCAACCCACGTGCATCAAGTCCCAGTTCCTCCGCATCTTGACTCAGACCTTGGTGGGCATCGACGTTGCGCAACGGGCTTTCCAGAGGGGATTTGTGGAGAACAATGTCAGAATGCAGACATGGGCGCTGTTTCTGATGTTCACTCGACTACTGTTGCACCGCACTAAACATAGCGGGCACGCTGGAGACCGTGAATTCAAAGCTCGCATCGCAGCTCTCGATTCAAGTGCCTGGGATAGATTGCTGCAGAGTGCCAGGGGCGCGGAGAGCACACCGTTCCAAGCTCAAGGCCGACGCGGAAACCCAACGGTTGTACAATGCGCAGGCGCTCATCAAGTTAGGTGAATTAAGCCACGCAACCCTAGCTCTGGACTCAAACAGCCTGGCGCCAAGGACAGCTGCCACCCTCGCCGAACTCAGCAATGAGAATCAGTGAATTGTTGGCGAGTGTTTGACAAGAATGTGTGCGGCGCTAGGACGAGATCCACGCATTGAAAAGGAACCACCCTCAATCCGTGAAGCTCTTCTCTGCAAATGTTTAAAACGAATGTGCGCGGCGCGAAGGCGAGAGCCACATTTTGAAAATGACCCGCCCGCAATCTGTGAAGCTCTTGCACATGTTAAAAACGAATGTGCGCGGTGCTGAGGCGAGAGTTACAGTTTGAAGATAATTCGCCCTCTATCTGTGAAGCTGTTGTCAATTTTGAAGCATTCTCTTGCACAGGGTGTCTAGAGCTCCGACCACTTTATTTCGGCACCGCACCCCCCCCCCCTTCATCATCATCAACATCATCATCATCATCATCAGCATCATCATCATCATCATCATCATCATCACCATCATCCTCACCATCATCATCATCATAATCACCATCATCATCATCATCCACATCATCATCATCAGGCGCCCCCTCCGTCTCAGCGCCCCCCCGCGGCTCCAGCGCCCGCCCAGTGCCCCCTCCGCCCCGACCACTTTATTTCGGCACCGCACCCCCCCCCGCTCCGCCCCCTCCCCCGCGCCGTCTCAGCGCCCCCCCGCGGCTCCAGCGCCCGCCCAGTGCCCCCTCCGCCCCGACCACTTTATTTCGGCACCGCACCCCCCCCCGCTCCGCCCCCTCCCCCGCGCCGTCTCAGCGCCCCCCCGCGGCTCCAGCGCCCGCCCAGTGCCCCCTCCGCCTCGACCACTTTATTTCGGCACCGCACCCCCCCCCCGCTCCGCCCCCTCCCCCGCGCCGTCTCAGCGCCCCCCCGCGGCTCCAGCGCCCGCCCAGTGCCCCCTCCGCCACGACCACTTTATTTCGGCACCGCACCCCCCTCCCCGCTCCGCCCCCTCCCCCGCGCCGTCTCAGCGCCCCCGCGCGGCTCCAGCGCCCGCCCAGTGCCCCCTCCGCCCCGACCACTTTATTTCGGCACCGCACCCCACCCCCGCTCCGCTCCCTCCCCCGCGCCGTCTCCGCCCCCCCTCCCCCGCGCCGTCTCAGCGCCCCCCCGCGGCTCCAGCGCCCGCCCAGTGCCCCCTCCGCTTCGACCACTTTATTTCGGCACCGCACCCCCCCCCGCTCCGCCCCCTCCCCCGCGCCGTCTCAGCGCCCCCCCGCGGCTCCAGCGCCCGCCCAGTGCCCCTCCGCCCCGACCACTTTATTTCGGCACCGCACCCCCCCCCCGCTCCGCCCCCTCCCCGCGCCGCAGCGCCCCCCGCGGCTCCAGCGCCCGCCCACCCCCCCTCCCCCGCGCCGTCTCAGCGCCCCCGCGGCTCCAGCGCCCGCCCAGTGCCCCCTCCGCCTCGACCACTTTATTTCGGCACCGCACCCCCCCCCGCTCCGCCCCCTCCCCCGCGCCGTCTCAGCGCCCCCCCGCGGCTCCAGCGCCCGCCCAGTGCCCCCTCCGCCCCGACCACTTTATTTCGGCACCGCACCCCCCCCCCCGCTCCGCCCCCTCCCCCGCGCCGTCTCAGCGCCCCCGCGCGGCTCCAGCGCCCGCCCAGTGCCCCCTCCGCCCCGACCACTTTATTTCTCAGCGCCCCCCCGCGGCTCCAGCGCCCGCCCAGTGCCTCCTCCGCCCCGACCACTTTATTTCGGCACCGCACCCCCCCTCCCCGCTCCGCCCCCTCACCCGCGCCGGCTCAGCGCTACCCGCGCGGCTCCCGCGCGCCGCCCAGTGCCCCCTCCGCCACGACCACTTATTTCGGCACCGCCCCCCCTCCCCCCCCCCCACCCCCCCCCGGCACCGCCCCCTCCCCGCGCCGTCTCACGCCCCCGCGCGGCCTCCAGCGCCCGCCCGTGCCCCCTCCGCCCCGAAACTCAACTTTATTTCGGCACCGCACCCCCCCCCCGCTCCGCCCCTCCCCCGCGCCGTCTCAGCGCCCCCCGCGGCTCCAGCGCCCGCCCAGCGCCCCCTCCGCCCCGACCACTTTATTTCGGCACCGCACCCCCCCCCCCGCTCCGCCCCCTCCCCCGCGCCGTCTCAGCGCCCCCCCGCGGCTCCAGCGCCCGCCCAGTGCCCCCTCCGCTTCGACCACTTTATTTCGGCACCGCACCCCCCCCCGCTCCGCCCCCTCCCCCGCGCCGTCTCAGCGCCCCCCCGCGGCTCCAGCGCCCGCCCAGCGCCCCCTCCGCCCCGACCACTTTATTTCGGCACCGCACCCCCCCCCCCGCTCCGCCCCCTCCCCCGCGCCGTCTCAGCGCCCCCCCGCGGCTCCAGCGCCCGCCCAGTGCCCCCTCCGCCCCGACCACTTTATTTCGGCACCGCACCCCCCTCCCCGCTCCGCCCCCTCCCCCGCGCCGTCTCAGCGCCCCCCGCGGCTCCAGCGCCCGCCCAGTGCCCCCTCCGCCCCGACCACTTTATTTCGGCACCGCACCCCCCCCCCGCTCCGCCCCTTCCCCCGCGCCGTCTCAGCGCCACCTCCCCCGCGCCGTCTCAGCGCCCCCGCGCGGCTCCAGCGCCCGCCCAGTGCCCCCTCCGCCCCGACCCATTTATTTCGGCACCGCGCCCCCCCCCCGCTCCGCCCCCTCCCCCGCGCCGTCTCAGCGCCCCCGCGCGGCTCCGGCGCCCGCCCAGTGCCCCCTCCGCCCCGACCACTTTATTTCGGCACCGCACCCCCCCCGCCCCGCCCCCTCCCCCGCGCCGTCTCAGCGCCCCCGCGGCTCCAGCGCCCGCCCAGCGCCCCCTCCGCCCCGACCATTTTATTTTCTTGCACAGCTGTGTTCTAGAGCTCGGACCTCTTTATTTTCGTTCGTCGTTCGTTCGTCATTCGCCGTTCGTCCCCCCCCCGGCCACAGAAGGAAACTCCTGGGGGAAGGAGGCGAACGCCTCCTGTCCCTCGCAGCTCCTTGGTGCAAGAGCCAGGGCACGCGTGCCACTTGTTAGGGCTATATTTTGTGAGGAAGTCTCAGGCGAAACGCCCGGAGTTATTTATCGCTTCGCTCATTCCTCCGGCCCTGGAGCGCTATTTGGGGCCTCTTGGGGCCGTGTTGGGGGCCTCTTGGGGGCTTCTTGGGAGCGTCTTGGGGCTCCTTGGCGGCGTCTTGGGCTCCCCTGGGGCCTCTTAGAGGCTCTTGGGGACCCCTTGGGGCGGGAGGGGGGGTAGTCGATTGTAGCCACCCCCTCGGAGGCCACGATCCTCGTGAGGGGTGGCGAAAAATAGCCTCCCCCCTGGGGATCGCCTGGGACCCGGCCGGGGATCGGCCGGGGTACTTTTCGTCCGGGGGCCCCCAGGGGCCGCCCCGCACGCGCGAACTAGAAATATTGTTAAGTAGTTACCGGGGATCTTAGCACGCCTCTGGCCCGTTGGGCCGGCGAATTTACAAGGAGAAGGAATGGCCACTTTCTTGATGCGCCCTTGCCCAATGTGGTTTCCAGTCATTGCCCCCCAGGTCAGCCCTGGTCCCTGGCCCCTGCTCCCTCCCGGCGGTGTGGTTCGCCAGCGCGCGGTCCCAGGACTCCCGACCGTTTCCCAGGAGCACCTTGCGGCCAGGATCCATTATTCTGATGGTCCTGCAGCCCGACATCGGGCCCACGAGGCCGAGCTCCAGGGAAAGCGCCTGGACCGCGAGCAACAAGCAGCATCGTCGGAGGTTTTGCCCCTGCGCTCCAAAGCTCGGGTCGGACGAAAGGGGGGGGGATAGGGAGAGGGGAGGTTGCGAATGTTGCTGCATGCGGCTGGTCTCGGCCCCGCCAACCGCCAACGGACGCCTTCCTCCAGACAGTGGCGCCTCCGGCGCCGGGAGGCGCCAGGAAAGGCAGCCAAAAGGAGAGATTCGCTGACCCTCCTTTTGCTCGACGAAACGTAAGAGTGACCCTTCGCCGGAGTGACTGTTGGTGCGGGCCCACCGGGCCCCCCCCCCCGATCGCCGAACGCGATGCGGCAATGCGATAGTGGCGTCTTGCGCGCTTGTGTTTGGTCCCCCCGCGGCCCCGGAAAAAGCCGGGCACCAAAGGTCGCTCTTACCCAGGGTCACTTTTGCGTGTAGCCGATTTGCTAACCCTCCCTCCCGTTCGACCCGAAAGACCCAGGTCAGACCAGAGGACCCGTACGAGTTTATGCGGGAGCAGCTCACGGCGGGCCAGGATGGGCCCTCGGCGGTCCACGCGGCCGCGGCGCCGCCGCCCGCGATGGCAGCGGAGGCGGCACGAGCGCCGGCGGGTGCGGAGCTCAGCGGGCTTTCGCCGCCGCGTTGGAGAGCGGCCTCAAGATGGGGTGAGAGGATCGCGCCGCATCGCCGATGTGTCGGCGATGCGGCTCGATGTGTGGCCCGATCGTCTCCACGCCGACGTCGCCGAAGCATCGCCGACGTCGCAGATGCAGCGCGGATGCACTCATGGTTCATCGGAGATGCGGCGCGAACCTCCGACCCCATCTACAGTCAACCCACACAGCAAGGATGGGCAATTTCCACCACGGTACCTTTGCATCCTTGCCCCCTCGGCCCACCCTTGGCCACTTTCGTTGGCCCGCGCCCCGCTCGAAAAGCTTCGAAATGGGCGTCCAAGGCCCTTGCATCCTTATCGCACGTCCTCATGATACGGGTTGGCTGTACTCCGACCCCATCTGGAAGGCCTCTGGCTGAAGAGCGGCCCCCAGATCTCCGACGACACGACTTCTTCATCCCTGGCGTCGAGTTTTTCCCCAGCTTCGCCCTCCGGGGCCCGCTCTCGGACCCGGGATCATCAAACATGGAGCCGGGGCGAAACGCTGCCTTGGTGGAGTGGGTCGGGGAGCCACGCACTGAACGAGTCACATCGTCGGATGTCTGGGTCGCCGTGCGGGTCCACAGGGAGACTGGGAAGGTCCGTGGAGAGCTGCTCGAGGTCCACCGGGAGGTCCTCGGCCCCGGCAGACGACGGCGGGAGCCAGCAGCTCAGAGGAGCAGTGCTGCCCCGCGCTCGGTGCCGCACAGAAGGAAAACGGAGTGAGCAGGGCGGGGGCGGCCCAGGATGAGCAGGTTTGGCTTTTGATTCGTCATTCTACCGGGTTGGGCCAGGCACCGAGTTGACCAGGGACGAAGTCTGTTCAGTTGGCTATGTTTGTGCAGAAGAACCCGAGCACACCGAGAATACAGGAGGTCATGCGGCATGCCGTGGCACCCGTCAGACTGTGCGGCCCGTCTGTGCCATCAGATCTGTCAGGATAGCGAACAGCTCTGCCTATACACTAGTGCGCCCAATCCGTCGCACTCCGATCTGATGGGGGCCCTCCCCGACTGGCTCGGAATGTACATACAGTGGTGGGAAAATCAAGGAGGATGTTTTCTGGACGCACGTCTTTGCATCGGCAGCGCCGGCGACCGCAGGCGCGAGGATCGGCACTGACGGGGCGCGCCGCGCGCGGGGCATGGAGACCAGAGGAAAGGAAAGGGCGGCCGCGGAGGAGGCAGGAGGAGGAAGGCCCGGCCGCCGAGAAGCGGCAGGGGAGGGGCGCGCGGGCGGCGTTAAGGCACTGGGGGCCCGGTGTGAGGTGCGGGTGCAGGGTGAAGCCTGGAGGAGCTTGTTGCCTCGATGCGCCCGTTTTGAAACGCAATACGTCCCGTGTTCAAGACGTCCGTGTCAATACGTTGCGTGCTGGCTCCACGTATTGGGCCACGTTTTGGCGAACGTATCGCGTCGGACCTACGTTGTCAGCCTACGTGTTGAGCTCCGTATCGATACGCTACGTGTTGTGTGTTGCGCATCGGGGCAACTTCGTGGAGGAGTTTCCGGCAGCAAGTCATGGGCGCCTTGCATGCCTTCGACGTGCCGTTTGTTTGTTAGGGTGTATTGGCGTGCGCCGGCGCCTGGTAGTCGATGAGGCAGCGCCGACGCAGCATGGAGCCAGCGCCGATTGCCTCGGGCCAGCGTCGGCCAGCGTTGTTCAGGGCCCACTCGCGCGTGAGAGCCAACGAGACGGCACTGAGGGCTCCCAGGAGTTGCCACCGAAGACGCCAGCGGCAGTCTCGTACCACTGTTATTGTGGTTTGGGTGGGAGGTGGGGTGCTGCTGCCTCGTGCCACGAAGCCTGCGCCGCGTGAGCTGTCCGCAGTCTTCGCGCACGGAGGGGCGTTCGTCGGGAGGCCCACGACAGCAGCTCGAAACATGATGGACCCACGAACCCGGAAAGGGATATGGACATGCGCAGCATGGTCACGTTTTCACGATACCCAACTGGGCGACACCTCACAAAACATCCCACGAGACACCCCGCGAAACATCCCACGAGACACCTCGCGAAACATTCCACGAGACATCTCGCGAAACGTTCCACGAGACACCCCGCGAAACATTCCACGAGACACCCCACGAAACATTCCACGAGACACCCCACGAAACATTCCACGAGACACCCCACGAAACATTCCACGGGGGTGCGACTGGGTGTGGTCGTGCTGGGGTGTGGTCTTGCTGGGGTGTGGTCGTGCTGGGGGGGTGGTCGTGCTGGGGGGTGGTCGTGCTGGGGCGTGGTCGTGCTGGGGCGTGGTCGTGCTGGGGCGTGGTCGTGCTGGGGTGTGGTCGTGCTGTGGTGAGGTCGTGCTGGGGTGGTCCGCACCCTGTGATTTAGCACCGCGAGCAACGACAGGCAACCACTCAACCAGGACAACCACGAGGAGACGCGTAACGCACGCAACGGTACGGGCGCCACTCTTGTTCCGCTCTGAGGCGAAAGGGACCCACGTATTTTCACGCTTGTTCCGCTCAGGGGCGAAAGGGACCCACGTGTTTTCACGCTTGTTCCACTCTGGGGCGAAATGGGCCCACGTGTTTTCATTACGTAAAAACACACGGATTCGTCCCCCTGGAGAGGGCGAATCTATAAGCACATACGTAACAAAACAAGCGTTTCGCTCGAGACATCCTCGGCGAACTCTGCGGAGCAAGCGTTTCGCTCGAGACATCCTCAACGCACGAAAAAGTGGCCCGCACCCTGTGATTTATCGATCGGGATTTCAAAAACAAGCGTTTCGCCTGAGACATCCTCAAATTTTAATCCGCCGGCCTCCTTCGGCCTCGATATTTATCAGGGAAAGAATCCGCCGGCCTCCTTCAAATTGGGCACGGGGGACTATGTTTACATACTAAAAGAGAACCCTGGGCCAAAGCCCTTTCCGGGAAAAAAATCAGTTCGGCCACGCGCGGAAGGGGGTAGGCAGAGGGGGGAAGGCTTCCTAGAAACACCCCTGCTTCTTTGAAGCCGCGGGTCTTGTTTATAGATGTTGGGCCTGCGCCTTCTTTGAAGCAGCCTCCGTCGGAGAAGCCTTCCCCCCTCCCCCTGCCTCCTTGTGCGCGCCGACAAACATGTGCACGAGCGCGCCCCTCGCGCCAGGGATGGGGGGGCCCAGTGCCGACCCAAGAAATCCGCACTCGGCTTCGAAAGTTCCCCAAACCAGTGCTTGCGCTTAGGGGCTCTTGCTTGTTAACAAGTAAGAACCCGGAGTAAAAAACCTTAAGTTGTTTACACTGAGGGAAACGGACCGCGGTTTCGATCCGGCGGTTCCGTGCTTGCCGTCGCCGCCCCGTCGCCGCCTCGCCGCCGCCTGGTCGTCTAGGCTTGTGTTTCGGCCTGGCGGGTCCGTTCTCGCCGTCGCCGCCCCGTCGCCGCCTCGCCGCCGCCTGGTCGTTTGGGCTTGAGTTTCGGTCTGGCGGCTCCGTTCTCGCCGTCGCGGCCTCGTCGCCGCCTCGCCGCCGCCTGGTCGTCTGGGCCTGCAGGCTAGTTTGGCGGCCACGTTCGCGCCGCCGCCGCCCCTGTCACGGCTTCATATAGATTGCACCGCACAGAATGCACCGCATAGATGCTCCTCTCTGAACAAGAGCTAGGTTCTACCACCCCCCCCCCCCGGACTGATTGATTCCCCGGGAGCCGATGCATGATTCTGACCCAATGTCCATCCCAATTGTGGAGTCATACAATCCCAGCCAAGCTGGTATTGGCCCCCCTTCGGTTCCCTTGCAACAGATACTATGCGCGCGCACTCGTTCATCAAAAATCATAAGGGTCCAAGAATCCCTAAAACAAACTGGACGAAGTGCACACGCGCGCGTCGTCGTGCGCGCATGCCAGAATCCTTCAAAAACCCTTCTGTCGGAAGGGTTTCAAAATCGAACGCCAAAAAACATGAAATAAACACAGGGTTTCGCAACACGGATTCTCAACAAAAACTTACGCGTTTTTGCGAATTCATATAAGAAAAGCATACGTTTTCAACATGCTCATAAAATCATAAAATGCTACCAAACGGGCTTCGCGCGCGCGCATGTCGAAATCGTTCGAACGCCCGCGCGCGCGTACTGGGATGGCACGATCCGTGTCAAATAATGCCATGCGAGCCACTCTCGCGCGTCTGCCGCGCGCGCATTTTGAATTCCTTCCAAAACCGTCGTCACCGACGCGAAGGCGCCGTTGTCGTCGGCGCGATCAGCATCGGCGCCGTTACTGGCTGCCCCGTCGTGGCTGTCAGCATCGTCACCAGCATCGCTACTATCATCACCGTGTCTACCGTTGTCGACGTTGCCATGATACCCCGCCCGCCCAGGTCGCCGACTCGCACTGAAGTGCTCGCTGGGAAGTGCCGAGCGGTCAGCGCCAGCCCCACCGCGGTCGCGTCGTTCGCGCCAAATTAGCCGGCCGCTGCGCGCGCGAGCATGCGCGGGCTAGCGCGGCCGCAGAGATGCACCAGCCAACACCCAGCACTAATCGCAATCGCTCCCGCATGGGCATTGCAAACCAAATTGCGGGCTGGTGGGTACGATGATTGCGCGAGCAATAGAGTTGACAACTTCAAGGTCTGCAAGTAGAATGCACCGCATGGATTGCACCAAGCAGGCTGCACCACATATATTGAATCATAGATATAGTTTTACCCCCCCCCCCCCCCAGACTTAAAGGTCCCCCCTTTCGTATTGCAATTTACATACGATTCTGCCCCATCGACCATAGTATCGTTGAGTTTGCGCCATCCCAGGGGGCTGGCATCGCCCCCCCCCCCCCCCCCCCGCAATCCTTTGCCAAAAATAGCATTCGCTCGCACTTGCTTATCAATCACCATAAGTTTTCAATAATCCTGTGTGACAAAAGCGACGCAGTGCACACGCGCGCGTCGTCGCGCGCGCATGCCGGAATCCTTCAAACACTTTCGGTTTCGGAGCGATTTCAAAAGCGAGCGCCCAAAACACATA